CTTTTTCTTTCTTTTCTTTGAAATTACCATAAGTGTTTCAATTGAAATTTAGTGTTCTATTATCATATGAATACAAAATGCTAACGTTGATGACAACATACTTCCCTATTGAATTTTTTTACTAGGTAAGATAGAATAAGTTGGGGAGTAAACGAAAGATTTTTGCTGATTCAACACGTTTTGTATGTGTGTAATCTTCTGTTGATAAATGAATCGGTCAATGAAAGGACACCCGCCCTCATCTCTTTTTTTTTCTCCTTATTATTATTCCTCTTTACTCTAAGTAAATATAGAGGAAAAATGTTCATTCACACAAACAGATTGTAAGATTGAACACAGAGAAGTATAACTATTTCTACCAGAAGACCATGCATAAACGTATATGCATGTCTGATTATGCAAAAATGTTCACGGACTAATTCAAACAATTTAACTCGATGCGACATCTCCGTCTACGCTTGAAGAAAAAACAACATTGATCGTAGTCGTTTGATAACTTTTGTATTGTATATGTCTCGTCTTGTTCAAAACGAGCGAGAAATTATTAATATTATCGCATGTTACTTTTCGCGAGATTTCTTTCTATTATTTGACGAGACAGGTATACATAACTATGAACATACGAAAGTTGAACATCACTCTTAATTTCCTTCTTCATCTTCTTCTTTTTTGATGTATGCTATACAGGAAACTAGAGTAAAAGAATATCATTTGTAGTAAGTCATTACACTATTTTTTTTTTCTATACATACTCCAGATTAATTGTCTTCTTTTTTTACGAATCTCGTATCTATATATACATATTATTTGTATCGATGGTCGATTGTCTCTCATGTCAGAGTTGTTGTGGAAGTTTACGTTCATCTAAACTTTATCCAAAAGAAAAACGTCCATTATCGCGAAAACGTGCTGCACAACAACTTTATCTACAAAAACAAATTCAGAACAGTAATGTCGATAAAAGTAAGTAGATATCACTTTATTTTTCTCTTCTTGTTGCATATGAAATTAATTAATACTATTGAAATATAAGATATGATGTAATCAGAAGAAGAAATATGTAACTCGAGAACTACACATATGTTCACGTTTTGTTTTAATCAGAGAATAAAATTCATCTTAAAGAATTTTGTTTTTATTTTTTGTTGTAATGAATTTTTTATCAAGTTTTTTGATCTTTTGATTGATAAAATCATTTCTCGTTATTTTGTCTTTGATATACATATTGATAAATCATAACATATGCATTTAACTGATTAGATCTTCATTATTTACATCGACCGGAAGCTGATTGTGCACTTCTTTATGTCGAGACATATATTTGTATAGTCGCCAACAACAATAATAATAATACTAACAACACTAGCCTTCATTTACAGACGAACGATAGAGAGAGGGAGAGAGAGAATTGATCCTCTGCTGATCAATTCGGTTGATTATCTTCGCTTCTCTCTTCTCGTTTACCTTGCCCGCCCGATCGTCGTAATTATTTTTTTTTTCTTCTTCTTTTTTGATTCGTAAAGATCACTATTGTACATAAAGAAGAAAATTAAGAAGCTTAGTCTCATGTCATTGTTTTAAACTTTAACTTTACTATAAAAGGCAATAACGAGAAGATAGATAGTGACCAAATGATGATCGGAATGAATAAGAGTGAACAAGACTCTTATAGTTATTATCGATTACATGAAAAAATTGCACTTGTATCGTTACTTACAAAAGAGATGAGAAAACCGCAGCAGCAGCAAAGTTTTTTCATCAAAAAACGTTTGGGTATTTTTATTTATTTTTTTTCTTCTTAAGACATGTATCTATCTTCTATTCATTTAGGTACATTTTCATGTGACAGTTTAAGTTGTGTAAGTAGTAATGTACAGTCAAGAAAGAAACAACATAATGTTAATAATAATAATAACAATAATAATAACAATAATACATCATCGAGACCAACGACAGATGAACAAAATCATCTACTTGAATTTTATGTCTTTGATGTTAGTCATAAACGTAATTTTAGTTTAACAAATGATTTAAATGATAAACGTTTAATTATTTTTTATGATATTTCCAATGGGTTATATACAATTGGAATCAGAAATGGTAAGTTAAATACTGTTTGATTTTTTTTTGTTATATTATTAGAAAAGAAAAGATAGTTTGATTATTTGCTATTTTTTTTTGTCTATTCAATTAACTGTTTGTCATTGAAGCAGATAGTATAATGTGATTCAGTAAATGTGTACTACCCACTCCGGCATTCGGGGATGACTGAATGCTGCTCTTTTCTTTTCTCGTTCTGTTTCTTCCTTCGTTCTTTCTTTTCTTTTGACATTTTGCCCGTGAACAACATCACACGCGACTACAATAATAGAAAAAATACGCTTAACCGACATCTAA